ACGCCTATATTAAATAAAGAGCTTTTACTTAATCCGTCCTTTTAAGCTAAGGAGTAAGAGAAATACCTATACTAATAAAAGGTAGGCTCCTTACTTTTTTTAGCTATTTTTACTAGACCGGATATCTCTTTTATAGTCTCTTAGCTAGCTAGGTATAACTAGAATCCTAGCCCTAGGTACTAAGAAGTAGTAGATAAAGCTATCTATTATTTCTATTTAACGAGATTATATAGTTTACGCTTAAGAAGGTAGGGAAGAAAGAAATTAGCTACTAAAATCTTCCTTTATATAAGCGATTTATCCTTTATAGATAATTCCTTAAATAAAAAGAGCTTATAAGGGTATATTATATCCTTTTTTAGAGGAACTATTACTTAGAAAGCTTTAAAGTAAGCTACTATTATAACTTTAAGTATAAAAGTAAAGCTACTAGCTCTTTTAAAAGCTTTAAAGGAAGCTATTTTCCTTAGCTAGCTACTAATATCTCTATAACTATAAATTCTAACCCTATTAGCTATAAAATATAATAATATATAGACTATATAAATTCTAACGGAAAATATAAAGCTATCGACCTAGCTATAGTATATCGATATCTACTAGTATTAGTTATACTAAGAGGTCTAAAAAGTACTTATTTCTATTTATTAGGTTTTAATAGTATCGATAAAATTAAATAGTCTTATAAAGCCCTTACTAAAGTAAAAGCTAGCTATCCTTTTATAGTAAATTAAGCTAGAAAACGTCCGTAAGAAGCTATCCTTAAAGGCTCGCCTTAATAGTTTATAAAAGGAGCTAATAGCCTATATAAGAAAGTAACGTCTATAGCTAAAGAAGAAGGAAGAGGTTTTCCCTTTAAAGGGCCCCTTATTTTAATTATATTTCTCTTTTTTAAGAAGGCCCCCTTTCTTATAAGACTTTTTCCTCTTTAGGCCCCTATTCTATAAGTAGGTTTAAAAGAGCCTAGGGACCTAAAAGGGCCCTTATTTTCCTTAAGTAAAGGGATAAGTATAGAGCTAAGAAACTCCTTTATACGCTTACTAGCCTAATTATTTAGCTTTACCCTTTCTATAAGGGTAGGCTATAGCTAAGGGGGTATATTATAAAGCATAGCTTAATTTTATAGTTCTTAGAGATGTCCCTTAGTAAGAGGGACTAAGGAAGCTAAAGACACCTAGTATAAAAAAAGGAAGAAGGAGCTAAAAAGAGGTATAGAAAGAAGGGTAAGGGTATAAGGGGAAGTAGAAGTAGCGATAGCTTCCTATAGAGTTAGCGAGAGATAAGACGGATATACTAGTAACGGCTAGAAAGGAGGGGAAAACCTAGTAAAAAGCTCGGTAGTTATAAGGATATTAGTAGCTTCTTTAAGTAGGATCTTCTTTATTAATTAAGATACTAAATAGGTATAAAGAGGGGCGTTAGATAAAGGAAAGAAGGATAATTAAGGTAATATAATAATTATCCCCTTATTATAATTACTGCCCCTATAAAAATTAAATATCTTTACTTTACCTATCTAACCCCTTACTTTTAATTTTACCTTTATATATTTTATATATAGTTCTTATATCTCTCTTTATAAGAAAGTTATAAATTAATTTATTAGTAAGTAATAGCGTTCCTTTAATAGCTATATTTACCTTAGATAGAGTAACTATATTAATAGTCTTTCTTAACCTATTATTACTAATAATAGTATTTACTAGTTCTTTTCCTTTAAGGTAGGAATTAAGGGTCTAGGCTATATACTTTACTTTCTCGTTTAAATAGTCCTTTACCTATTTTTCGATATTTTATTTAGCTAGATTACTATATTTCTAGCTTAATAAGGGCTTCTTATTATATATTACTTATAGTAAGTAGTAATTCTCCTACTAGCTTATTAAGCTATTAATATACTATTTATAGCTAATATATTAGCTTTTAGCTTAGGTATCTACCTTCCTAGAGATTTAATTAGCGCTTCCCTTTTTTATAGGTAGTTATAACTTCTTCCTATAAGTATATTCTTATTTAAAGTTAGTAATTAAGTTTCTTAAGAGAATTTAATCTTTACTATATTTTTTATTATAAAGGTTAAGAGCCCTTATTATTATAGACTAATATAGGTCTTACTTATTTACCTCTATAAGAAAATCCTATTTAATTCTTATATCGTTAAGTATATTAACCTTAAGGTCTTATAAATTTATAATAATTTAGTTAAGCTATTCCGCCTAAGATTTCTAGTCTTAAGCGCCTCTTTTATTAATAAAGGTTATATATCTTTTATAAATTAGCTTTTTCTCCTCTACCCCTAAGGGCAAGGCTTACTTCTTTAATTCCCTACTTTTCTCTCTTAGGCTATTATATATAAAGGTTGCCCCTTAAAGCCCTTTACTAACTATTTTCTTAATTAATTCTTTAAGTACGATTAAGGCTTTTTACTAGACCTTATAGCGATCGAATTATAGCTAGAACCTTTTCTTAAGGTTATAAATAAAGTCCTTTATATCTTAGTATCGTCTATTATAGCCTATTTACCTTATAAGGAATATAGCCTTAGCTTTATCTTCTTATTAAGTAGGTCTCCCTTTAAGATTTATAATAAATTGCTCTTAGTCTAGCTATTAAGGCTATTTAAGCTCCTTTATACCGTCTAGGTTAGTATATTCCTAAATCTTATAAGTTTAAGCCTACGATTTAATCCCCTTAATCTATATAGTCTAATTAAGGCTTTCCCTTAATCTTATAATATAATTATCCCCTTTTACTTCCTTTAATATTATCTTAGGAAAATTAAGGGTTCTAGCTTAATTAGTAATATCCTTCTTTAAGGGATATATAATTATATATAATTCGTATATTTCTAGTAGTACCCCTTAGTATAGCTAGGTTCCTTACCTTAATACTAGAATTTAAGTATTATAACGGCGTTAATAGCTTATAAATAGCTTTAAAGGTAATATCGATAGGTAAAATATAATCTAGTTATATAGACCGGGCTTATAACTCTTAAGTAGAGGCTTAAGAGTATAGTAAAAGAAATAAGGGCATAGAAAGGTAAATTTAGTAATATATATCTTAGTCTATCTATTAAGATAAGAGAGGGGCTTATATAGGTATAGTAACTATATATAGCTAGCTAAAAGGGGGTATTATAATATTCCTATACCTAAGTTAGGCCTATATAATATCCTTAGGCTAGGGGAGTTATATTGCTTATATAGGCTCCCTTATGCATAACTATTAGGTCTACTAGGGATGACTGTGGCCTCTTATGCCCACTCTCCTTAACAGCTACGTAGGCGCGGGGAATATGCGCACCTAATTGTGCGGTATCGGCGCTGCGCCTTAACAAGCCACACTACCCCACTTATTTTGTATGCTCCCTATCCATACGTGTATGCTCTCTAGTCAGGGCCTATCTAAAGAGCAAGAAGAGAGTGAACAAGCTCACGAAACTCTGCAGCTCTTTATACGCAAATAAAAGGTCCATTGCAAGATTACGCTATAGCTGTTCATCGTTGGAAGGGCCTAGTATCTTAGTATACAGAGCATTGGGTTTATGTTAACCTAGTGAGTCCTAGAGTAATTCTCAGCAAGCTGAGAGCGCGGGCGGAAGGATAAGGGCAGGCACAATTGAGTCCAAACGATGATGCATGTTTTTTATCTATCTGTGCGACATTGAGGGGGTATTTATACGAATAGATACCAATCTGGGACCCGTGGTGGCCCTGAATCAGTGCCACCCGTGTATCCCGATTAGGCAATGTTCCTCTACTGTATCGATACCTGACTCAAGTCCTTGTGTCTGACCTGCCTCTTTCACCGGAGTTTATACGTGTGCGGATTAGACCGTCAGTCTGCTCCTCTGACACACCCCTTTGCCTCGGTCTCACTGGGTGAGTGAGGCAAACAAGCAAAAGAGACAGACGAATCATCCAATCTTATCAAATATCCAGCGAGTGAGGCTACTACCGTTGAGGGAGATGCTCTTCATGATGTCTTCCTTGGTGTTGTGACCAGGAGCATTTTAACAAGTCAATACCAGCAAAATGATGGGTCCATCCTGTGCCTGGGTGATGCTCGAGAGCATCTATATCTCTCTGGGTGGTGATACTGTCGAAACTGTCCTCCGGCGCATCGGCTTCAATTGGTGCCACCGGTCTCCTTGCATCCCTAGCTGCTTGACAAAAGCTTCGTGCTTTTGCTGGGGAAGGGCCTTTGTCATTCCATCAGCGGGATTCTCCGTAGACTTGATCCATGTGATCTGGAGTCTTTCTTCCTGAACCTCCTGTCGAAGCCAGTGACGATGGATATCGATGTGCTTAAGGTTCGTCTTGAGCTTTGCGCTTAGTTCAGTCAGGAGCCTGATGGTCTGCAGGTTATCGCACCATAGCTCATTGGTGCCTTCTACCTTGATGTCAAGCTCTTTAATTAGCCGGAAAATTGCATTTGCTCCTTCGCCGCGCTTGACAGGGCCAGCAATTCGGCCTCTGTGGACGACGTCGTCACAGTCGCTTGTTTCGTAGCCTTCCAGTCAACGGGTCCGCCTAGAAACAAGAAGACATATCCCTGTGAGGATTTTCGAGTCTCCGGGTTGTCTGCAAAGGATGAATCAGAAGCGCAGAGGAACCTGCGTTCAGCTTCTTTGACTGAGAAGCAGATGCAGCGATCTCTCGTGTGATAGAGGTATGCCAGGCATCTCCTGGCCTCTCCTATGCTTCGGGCCCGGGTTATGGCTGAATTGTGCCAGTTTTCCAACCGGGAACGCACCGTCGGGTCTGGTGTGAATCGCTGGGTGAAGAATTGAGCCAATTAGAGAGAGATATTGATGAACCTCGTCCCTAGTAGCCGTCTTCTCGTATGGCTTGAGCTCTTCGGTCGTTATCGGGATCTGGGGCACGCCAAGGATCTGATCATCGTCCTCAATGTGGAATTTCTTGGCCATCTTCGAGAGATACGAGGCTTGAGCGAGCCAAAGCTTCTTCTGGGCCCTATCCTGATGACTTCAATCCCTAGGAACCAGCGAAGTTCCCCATGTGGTTGATGGTATATTCCTTCATAATGGCAGCGTGAAGTTCTTCCCATTCGGCCTTCTTTTCTTTTGGATACATCATCACGATGTCATCCACAAAGAAGAAGATGATGACTCCTTTATAAGTCATCACGCAGGCATCTTCGACGAGTTGTTGAGCGCCCAGCTTCTTGAAGAAGCCCGAGAGCTCCTCAAACCACAGCCTTGGAGCGATTCGAAGCCCGTATAGTCCCTTGAGAAGCTTCAAGCATAGCCCAGGCTCAAGGTAGCCTGGTGGCATCTGACAATAGATGGCATGCTTGAGCTTATTATACAGAAACGCTGTTTTCACATCGTACTGTTCTGTTTCAAGGTCTTCAAGACAGCAGAGGGCCATTAACACTCTGAAGGTTCTTGCTCGTAGTGTGGCCGCGTATGTGTCCTCGTTGTCTTCCGGCTGCTGGTCTCCACGGACCACAAGTCGGGCTTTAAAGCGAGTGACGTAGCCCTGCTCATCCAGTTTATATGCATATACCCATCGCAACGGGATTATGAAGTGGCCGGCTTCTTCAACCATCTTTCTGGCCACCTTGGTCCACGTTTCGAGCTTCATCTGGTCCTCAATTTCACGCCCCATCCCCATTATCCATTGGGAGGCGTATTCCGAAGCCATCGCGGCTTTAAAGGAGGTTGGCACAGGAGGCATATCCTCAACGTGAAGCCTGTGCTTCGAGGCATTAGCAATGATGTTATTGATGAAGGCCTTCTTCGGCTTCCTCTGTCTCTTGCCCTCAAGCACATTGGCGGGGTTTATCCCCTGAGACTTGTCCTCGCCTTGCGGGGTCGTTTTCGGGTTGTGATTGTGACTCTGGGGTCGGGCTCTCCCCAACCCCCAGAGACAGCTCCTCGAATTCTGACCATTGTGGCTCGTCGAGCGCACCACCCCCCGGATCGACAGGTGGCTCATTCAATCCGTCTAGGATCGGCGTGCCTAGTGATACCTGAGGCTCCCGGTCGGTCCGCGTAGGGCTCGAGATAATGTTTGAGTTTTCCACCTCCGGGTCCTCACTCCGTAGTGGGTGACCTCCTGCGGGGTCACGCTAGTGGTGACAGAGCTTGGTGGGGAGGGTGAGGTTTCTTCCTCCACCCTACTGTTTGAAGTGCTTGGAGGCGAAATATAGGCACTGTCCGTTGTAGTCCTCATCGAAGTCTTCAAATTCGGTGCTTCTTGTGTCGCCTCGTCTGCAGAGGGTGCCGCAATTGACTCCGAGGTGTACGGCGTCATTCCGTCATCTGTCTCATCATCGGAGTAATTGCGCACTCCTGCTTCCTCTATGTCTTCGTCGTCAGGGACGTCTATCGCCACCATTTGACGAAGAACATCGTATGTATAGACCTGGAAGGCTTCCGCGTCTTCTTCCCTCTTCGGATCGTACATTGTTGACTCATCAAATTGTACATTCGCCGAGACCATCAGTTTGGTCTGGCGGATCGAGGGTATCCACACGACATATTGATGGGTCGATCTGTAGCCCACCAGGTAACCGATATGAGCTCTCTGCTCAAGCGGGGACTGCGTCTTATGTGACTTTACATGCTCCAACGCAGTGATTGTCATTGGGTAGGCCACACAGCCGAAGACACGCAGGTGATTTATGCTCGGCTGGACTCGCTTGCTGTGGCCGTATAGAGGGTTGTGGTCCCTCATATAGGTCCACCATCGTTCGTGTGGGCTTCTCCAGCTATGATCAGATCCTTTAAGTGGCGTACGGTTGAGCAAATACACTGCTGTTCGGTAGGTCTCGGTCCAGAGCTCCTCCGGGAGGCGGGAGTCCAGGTTCATAAGCCGGGCCCTTTCTTTGACCACGGCCCCGGACCTTTCTGCATGCCCATTCTGTGTGGGCGTGGATGGAGCTGACTGGAAGACCCGAATGCCCAATCCTTCGATGAATTTGACTAGCTCCTTTGTTAAAAGGGCTTTTCTCCGTCAGTAGCCAGGTTGATCAGTTTTATCCCGTACTGGGTTTCTAGCATTGATGTCAGCTTCTTGAAGGCATCTCGACCTCGGTTTTGCTCTTCAATGCGTAATAAAACCTCATCCTGGTCGTTATGCATGTGAATAGCGCAAAGTACTTTTCACCCCGAATCCGGCCACCGGGCCTGGGTGTAAGTCGAAGCTAAATTGAGCTCCGGCCCTCTGGGTCGTAAAGTGGGCTCTCACGGGAGACCTGCCTCTTTGCCTTGCCTGTTGCGCAGACCTCGCATTCACACGTGGCCGGTCCCCCCATCTTGGTTAGGTGGCTAAGGGGTTCTGGCCCCGGATGTCCTAGCCGTCTGTGCCAAAGGTCTGCTTGCCCACCCATTGGTGGCTTAGGAGCCCTGCTTGTGACAAAGACGCTGTGTTGGGGCCGCTTTGAGAGGCTTGCAATAACGTATTGGTCTTCAATTTCTTGCAGACTGACCAGAGTGCGCCCTGTGGGCTCATGGTAGAGTGTGCCGTTAACCTGGTTCCAATAGATCTTCGCAACAATCCCTGACGAGCTGAGAACACACTTGTTGGCATCTCTGGGATGTAGTAGCTGCTCTCAAGCTTCAAATTGATCCCGTTTTTCACTGGGATAACGGCCATGCCTACCCCCTTGACTTGGAGGAGTTTTCCTGCCCGGACTTCTTCTGACGATCCCCAGGTGAAGGTATCCTCATCGAACCATCGTAGGTCGTTAAAGACATGTACGCTAGCCCCTGAATCATAGATGGCCTTGTCCTCGAGAGAGTCTTCACTGTATTAGTGCTATGCACGTGCGACACTGTATTAGCCTGTTTGCTCGAGTTGTTGTTATTCTGCGGGACTGTGATGTCTTTGGCTTTTGGCTTCCACTCCATGGCTTTGGTCTTGTCCAAGGGTTCTCCTTAAGGTGCTGGTTGATGGCCTCCTTAAGGTGGTCCCTGGGAATCCATCCTTCGGGGGTCTTTCTGGAACATCGCTCTAAAGGTCCAGCAGCTTTCCCACCACTCATCCTTTTGACCCAGTGTTGCTTACATGCCGGGCACTTGTGTGACCCTCTGGGCCATTCCTAGTCCTCTGATCAGATGATCTTGGAGCGTTGTTTGCGTTGTTGACCCTGGGGTCTTCTGAGGTTTCCTTTCTTCCTGAATCCAACCTCCTTTTAAAGTCGGCAATCAGGGTGCGCAAAGGGGTTGCTGGGAGTCCTGTTCTCTCCAGGAGTGCGTCCAGCAGCCTAATCGTCATGGGCCAGCTAGGGTCCCATTCTTCGGTCCCTTTGAGGAAGTCCTGACGAATCTTTGTGTCATTAATAGTCGAGACCGCTAGGTCTCTTGAATCCAGGATGACTTGGTCCAGCTGCTCTGCCCAGGCCTTCCAGTCCCGGGTTCCTTTCTTGTTGATGATTTGATGATACCTTTCATCGATAAGGTTCTTTTCTTCCTCCGCTGAGGGAGAACCTTCTGTTTGAGTTCTTTGATCTTGTCCCGGGCGTCAGCTGTATCAGGGTCTCGCCCTGGAGCCCTCACTGATGGACTTCTTGATCACCTCCTCGATCTGCATCATGGCTTTTCTCTAGCCTTGAAGCGGTCCAATTGATCCTGGAAGGTCTTCTCTTTGTACCTAAAGAGGTCCTTGGCATCTTGAAGCTTCTCATTGAAGTCTTCCTTGCTGCCTTATACTTATTTTCTTCGTTGGGAAAGCTTCCTCGGTGGGGCCTCTGCCCTACCTTCTCGAGTAGCTCTTCCCAGCTAGGCCTCAGGGGCTCCTCGAGCACCACGGTCCCTTTGGGTTAACGTACTCCCAGATGTGGTGCGTTTGAGCCCATGATTTGATACCCTAATCCATGGGGTCCAGTCAAGGCTTTCCTTGAGTGTGGTGATGTACACCTCCCCTTCTGATATTGGGGCCTAGTGTCATCGTGTGTTTTACCTCCTGCGAGGGATGCACGCGTCACGTTGACTCTGCGTAGTTGTGGGTGTTGCCCTGAATTTTGCTCTCTTCCTCGCGTCAACCCCAAGGGTGAAGGATATATGGTGCGTTGAGATTCGTGATAGCCTCACAGTTGGTAGAGGAATGCGAAGGATAAAGAGCACCGCAAACTGGCTCATAACTCTCAGCAAGCTGAGAGCGCGGGCGGAAGGATAAGGGCAGGCACAATTGAGTCCAAACGATGATGCATGTTTTTATCTATCTGTGCGACATTGAGGGGTATTTATACGAATAGATACCAATCTGGGACCCGTGGTGGCCCTGAATCAGTGCCAATTCCCGTGTATCCCGATTAGGGCAATGTTCCTCTACTGTATCGATACCTGACTCAAGTCCTTGTGTCTGACCTGCCTCTTTCACCGGAGTTTATACGTGTGCGGATTAGACCGTCAGTCTGCTCCCTCTGACAGTAATGCAACAAGATATTCTAATAGGGAAAGTTGGCGATTTGGCATCGTAAGAGGGCGCGAAAGACTTGAAAGTCTTGGGATGGCGTTGGATAAAATGCGCGAGACTGTCGCAGTCAAGCGATGGTACTAAACCTTCTAGATATCAACGTGGCATGCTAAATCGACCTCAGTGGCAACATGCCACGCCAAGGCAACAACACAACTACGAGAAGCCAACTTCGTATCATCATCCAGAAAATCGAGCAATCATCCTTCCATCCACATGACTAGTCCGTAATAACTGACATATTGTGGACGGAGTGTCAGTGTTCTGCGTGTAGGCAGGCTCGGGGGAGGGAGATTCGCCAGAGCCAGGCAGCAACTTGGTACCGCTCGATATATGGCTTCCAGGTGACTGAGATCCCTGCTTGCATCGATCGAAAGGAGCAGTCAATTTCATCCTGGCTATCATAGAGCAGGCACCAACTAAGAATATTTCATAACCAACTTCAAGGCCGGGGGAAGCGTCCCAGAGTCCGTCGTCCTCTTCACACACAAGTATGCGTTCCGCTTATCCTCAACTATGACGTGAACATAGCCACTCGACTCCAGAGGGTTATCATACTTGAAGAAGTGCAGTGTTACCGTGCCGCCATCCGGGACAACTCCAGAGCCTTCATTGCCAGCGCCGTCTTTAAACATCAGCAAATCAGTTGTCGCACGGAGAGGGTTTGCAAATGGAAAGCGCCACTTGATCTCCGCCCAATCCAGGTACAAACCCGTGCTCTTGTTCTTTACGCGATATTTGGTTCCGTATTTGATCTGAACTTGTTATCAAACCGCCGAACCCCAGGTTTCACGCAATAGCTCGACATACCTCAGTAGCCGGATCGCCGTTCGCGGATTCGGCCTCGTAAAGTAACAGTTCCTGCCTAAGCTCCACTTTCTTGGGCCCCAAGAGAACACAGCCACGAGACTGGACATTTGAGTCCACTGGTATTGATACTATATTAGCGGACTTGAGAGCATTTACTGTCGCAGCTATAAAGGCCTTTGGTTAGCATATAGCTATCTGCATACGGAATACGCGGGTCATACATAGGTCGTAGGCGTCTGCGGGGTAAGCCAAGAGAAACCTGCCGGTCGGGCAATCTTCCGCATTCAACGTGAATGTGTTGGACTGTTTGGGCGGCTTAGGTTTGGCTCGGAGGATCTCGAGAGGTGTTTTGACGCCCCATCTTTCCGCTTCCGCTGCCAGTCCTTCCATGCCACGAAGCTGTGCTATCGAGTCAAGGAGGCCAGCGATTTTGTCTTGCTATGGGTCATGTCAGATGCGAAGCTGGACGTCAGAAGGGGGGGGGGGGCAAACCTTAGTGATTCTCCAATTCCAATGATGTGCGACGGTTGGAGCCCATTGCGTTGGGCTTGACGTTTGTTAGCAAAGCATATACTGCAGCGTGTTTGATGAAGCTTACTGATTACACAAGAGTGTGTCTCCGCCGTTGGCTTGCCAGGTGAGGCTCATAGTGGCGCTTCTCGTAGAGCCTGACTGCGATGCCTTCGATTCTTGCCCATGTGACGCCGAGACTGATGCCGAAGCACCCCAGCCACTGAACGAGGCGGAAGCTGCAGCTTTCATCGCCGAAACCACCTCACGGCTACTACTAGAGGCGGACGATGCGACGTCTTCTGTGGCGAAGAGACGTCCGCCAAGTTGGACTCTGCTGCTAAAGAACTCGCCTACGACTCATGTTAGCAGAGCGATAGGTAAGAATTTACCATCCCGGGCAGAACCCACCGTATTCGTCTTGGAATTTTCTGAGGCTGGCTGCGTCCGTAACCAAAGCCAAGGCAGCGCTACACTCTGGCGTCAATTCCAAGCTACGTTCGTCCAAGAAAATGGTAACTCGAGGAAACTTCAATATCGCCACGTCAGCCTTTGCCACCAATACCTCCCGTTTGCAATGCACATTCCGCGACTTACGTTATAGGCGATTGTTACTTTTTTGCTCTTCTTGGTCGATTCGCTACTATCCTTCGCCGAGCTCGATTGACTATAGCTTGCGGAGACCTCCAGTGAGAAGCCAAAGACGGATCCACCGCTGCCATTGAACTCGTAAGCAAAGGTCAAGTGCTATTGCGGAACAGAAGACGGAGACAAACCCCGCTGCCGAGACGTCCGTCTCGGAAAAGGACGAACTGGCCATTGACGCCTGGATCTCAGTCTCAGTCTCGTATGTCGCGACATACGACCTGTCGTCTATGATGTAATCAGGCACCCGAAGATCGAGCTATAAATCCATGAATCAATAGGTGTTCCGTGGCCGAGCTTGCGTCCGCATCCCACTGCGAAGAGCAACTGACTTTCACACCCCTGATGCTTGAGTTGGGGAGAGCATCCGAGTAAATTGTCCTCTTTCTCAGACGGAAGGCTGCCCAAATGCTTGATTCAGCAAGAAAAGCATAAAGGCGGTTCGGAAGCTGGGTCTTACCTGGATACCGAGCTCTCTCAAGCGCAACCGGCACGCCCCTGTCCTCCTCCGTAGATCCCGGTGCCGGCGTCTTTTTTGGTGTATTTTCATCGGTTTTTTTCTTTTCCCAAATGACGCGAATGCCATAACAGAGGGCGTTACTTTCGCTCACCACTGCCCAGTCTCGTTCTTCCAGCTCAGGCACGTATCTAGCGTATTGTCAGGCTTTACTCATGGTAGGTATAAATACCACAGCGGATAGGCTTACTTGAAGGCGGGTCCGGTCGCAGCTTCATTCACTGTTTATTTTTGGCCGGGTCAGCTCTGCTATCAGCATCAATGACGTGACTCATACCAACAGCTGCTTCAGACTACGATCAATTAGCAATTGCATTTGAGGGGCTTCTAAGACGGAATCATACCGAATCCTTTGGCTTCGCAATTTCTTCATCTCTCATATACACATCAAGAGTAGTAGCCTCTTCAACATTTGTCTATTAAGGTATTAAGCGAGAGGAAGCGTCACTTCAGGAGGTGTTGTACTTGCCCCAAGACAGTCTGTCAGGTACTCCTGGACCGAGAATGTGTCTGGTACACAGGCACCCTTTTTCCCACAGAAAGGATGATGCGAGCTATTGGATTGGTAAGCAAGGGTCTGTCATGATCTAAATCCATTCTTCTCACATCTCAATACTGCCAGTCAAACCAGCAATGTTCGCTCGAAGGTCGGACAATGTTTCATCGGCAAGGCTTGACTTGAGCAGCTTCAAATAGAAGGCTTCTTTCTCGGTGGTACCATCCGTGAAATGGACGACAGTTGGAACCGTCTCTAGTAGTTCCATAAGCAACCATCTTGTTTCTTAACATGTGACGAGTCTGACGAGAATCGCCGCTTGTCTACGTGGGGATCGTTAAGCTTACCCTCTTTTGCCTGAGCCAGCTTAACCGTGGGGTTATCTGCTTTGAGCGGCGTAGCGGTGGAAGGTTTTCCTGCCATGATCTGATCCACGAGATAGCCAGCTGGGGTTTCGAGTGTTGATTCCAATGTTTGATGGGAAGTTGTCGGCTGGATGACTTTGAAGTAATGCTCAGCATCTACGGCAGGTGGTCCCAATATATAGAGCGCCGGCCATGGCTAGCCGGCCGCTGAACTTAGAGCAGATGTCTACATTTGATGTTGGAAAATCCCGCCCGAAACGTCACGCTTGCGTTTGACACATCGACAGCTCAGGACAGCAGCGGGGAATCGTCTAGGCCATCCACGCCGTCCCATCTGCCGAACTTTGGCTGTAACTTCTCGCAATGCAGTATATAAAGCAACCATGCACGCCTTGCCCACCACGGCTAGTACTCAGGACGCCACTTTGGATCATCAGGAGCTGAGGCTATGCGGCATGTTATCTTGCTGCAGCTAGATTATTCAAGCATCTATAGACATAGACAGTGCACATGAGCAGCGTGGGAAGCAGGGTGCAATGCAGTCAATAGGGGCGGAGGGGGGGTTATCCACCCACCCAAAAGCGTTGTGGTTCTTCAACTCATAAAAGATTACATGGCCAATAGGGGGTACAGGTATATATAGGATGCGTAGGTTAATGAACATGAGTCTGTCATGATTTATCGTGATATCTTTGGCAGCAGATAATGCCGAATGGAAATACTGCTCCGTGCCATTTTCACCTCTGTATCTAGTTTTGCTAGAAATGAGCGAAAGAAACAGGCGGAAGATATATACATTTTATGAAAATCATTGGGAAAGTGCAACTGCGACTTTTATTTTAGCGAATAGGTGTGTCACGCTTGCTCACCACTTGACCAATAAGACAAGCGTCGAATGCAAGTGTTCGAAAGCTGATCCCAAAAGTCCTTCAGCTGGGATGGCCAAGAGTAGCCCGCTCCCCTCCCCCCGCGCCGTGTAATTAATATCTTTCTCTTCTCTACCCAGAGCATCCCGCTTCCCGTTATACCCAATTAATCACCCCGCGCTCAGCTTCGTCCGTCGGACTTGGCCCCGATTGGTCGCTGCTATCGCCAAGCTTTTGTTTCTGTCATTTCTGGCCGTTCGTTGGTCGGATCTGAGCCGCTCCATCCCCAGCCGCGCCTCGTTACATTGGCTTATGGCCGCATGTGTGGACCGGGGCTAGAACAACGGCCCAGTCTCTGGAAGCGAGCTGCAAGCGCGCCTCAGTGCCTTGAGAAACGAAAGGCGTTCTAGACGCAGGGCCGGCACCTGTGCCGCCCCCTGCAAACTTCACCCCTCAAATCCGCCGCTTCTCTTGCATCTAGGAACCTGTCCTAGAGCAGGGACGTATCTCTTCCTCGCCAAGGACACCGTTGCTTATAATGTTTCCATTAAGATAGAAGATCATGATGACCATGGGCTCTAGCATCTCCCGAAGATCGAATACTTGCATGACCTTGGGCTGGCTATGACGATAGACCGCATCCCTTGAGTAGAAAGGACAAGAGCTCCCAGTCCTTTAAGATCAATGCCAACTACTTATAATCCTGCTCCAGTATTACTGGCGCGAGCAACCTCTCGACTGTCAATTATGAGCCTTTCGGCCATAACACCAATAGTTATGCGGAACCACTTGGGGTTATGCGGGGGTAATGACTATGCGCGCCGAACTACTTTGCTAGGGACTCCGCCTTACGGACGCCCGTTTGACTGACCCCCTAAGTCTGACATGAATGCATTCCACTGTCATGCACCGTGCCCCTTCAGTGCACGGCTGGTTTTCGTTCTAAGTATTACTTCCCTAGCCATTTCTTCTAGCTAGAAAAGGTGGATGATTATATTTCTATCGACGTAGCTATCTATATTACAGAATTTCGAGTCCTCTTTGTTTCAATAATACTCAGAATAGCGATATGACACGTGATTATCCTGTCTCCTAGCGACGGCTTGACGCACATATCCCATGCTCGGTTTAACCCTAGGCTTTACTACAACGACAATGACGCCTTATACAATCTGTTTGCGACATAGCCTAGAAACTACTTTGGTAGTCTGCCTAAGTCGCAGGGCGATCGTAGAGTCGATGTGCCGTATTACGAATTGCAGCAGTTACGAATCTTCTTGGATGGCTGTTTCCGCAGCTGCGGCGCTGTGGGGTTATTTACTCTAGTAATTCTAGGCCCCGACAAGCTTGAGAGAGAGCGCTTGCGCGAGCAGATGGAGTCGAAAGATACCGACAATTACATCGGAAGCACCGTCCGCTTCTAGTCCGCTTTGTATTTCGCTCAAATGTAACGCACCAGCTGAATCAGGCTTTAGAGTTTCAGTTGAAAAGCCGAATGAAGTCGCAGAGCTTAAACCAGCCAAGCCTAGGCTGAGGTTCTCGATGTGGGCGAACATGGCATCCGCCTCTTTGTATTATTAATCCTCCTTCCATGTCCCTTCCACTTTGAACGGCTCCATGTCTTGGCCGTTGTATTACTGGACCGACCTGAACAGTTGGAACTATCAGAGCCTGTAGCATCATCATATATCGATACGCATTCATCTCAGGCTTGCGATCCTGCCGCCTCCATGACATCCACGTCAGACGTCTTCTTTTTTTCCCTTTGTCTTTCTGTCGGAACCACCGTTGCACCATGCAAAACAGATACGCGCACCTGGGTTACAGATACACTGTGTTGTTGTTCCTGATATGCGCTGTTCTGACAGGATCCCACTCGCTTCTTATCACCCGCTTCAAACAAAGGGACCTCTTATATAGACATAGCTGGCAGGGATCGACATGACCATGAAGCTTGCCAGAGGCAATCGGTCTCTTCTAACAGCTTCTTTCGTCTTTTTTTTTAGTTATATTACGCCCGGAGGGTTCCCCTATAGGGCCACTACGCTAAGCTACGGACCTGCTATATATTGTTCTATCTTACCCTAAGCCCCACGCTTCTTTTTATCTATTTCTAGCCTCGTTCGCTGTGACATAATAGGCCTACTTAAAGGTTAGTTTCTCTAAGTGTTCAGCGTCCTACCTTTAGCGACTAAAGCGCGGTCTGCTAAGTTAAAGGCTATTATATTAGTATAATTTTCTCTTAATTAGTATATAGCCTATTAACGGTCTATACTAAAGCGTTTTATCGCTAATATAAACTATATCGTCGTATATACCGCCCTAATATTAGGCTACTACTTATTATCGTCTAACTCTAACCTACCTCCTAGGAAGAAAGATAGGTCTCTTACCTTTCCGCGAGCATATCGTAGTATAATCTCTCGTTATACTATCTATCTTCTATATCGAAAGAGGAAATGCTCTACCGTTTCTATAGACTACCTATAAGTATACTTACTTAATTCTACTACCCCGATTTTATAAAGGTAGTTATTTAACCGTAATTTACTAGTTTAAAGTTATACTAATACTTTAGATTCCTTTTTAGTTAGCTCGTCGTATATCTTATAGGTATACTTACCCGGTAATACTTTATCGATACGCTTTAAGTGCTTTTTAACCCCTTTTAAGATCTAACGATCGCGAGTATATTCGTTAAGTAGTAGTTATAACGTTATTACTTTTACCTAAAACGTTACTAGTTTAGCGATATATTTATCTCGCGTCGCTCTTTTCGCTTATATTTTAGCTAATAGCCTAAGGGTAAACTTCTTATTCTTTATAGGCACCTAACGAAGTCTAACTTTATAGCCTCTTTTTATAAGATACTTAATAGATCTATATATCGCCTATATTATATACTAACTAGACTACTACCGCGGTCGCTTAATAACTTATAGGATAGAGCGGTTGCTTATTATAACTATAAGCTCTCGGTTATAAAGACCTAGAGGCATATACCTTAGGGCTATAGCGATTGCCTCGAGTCCTACTATATAGACATTCTGCTTATTACTAGAGCTAAAGGTAACGGAGTAGCTTACTAGTACCTTATCTACGTTATTACGGGAAGTATCCCGAACGACGCCTCCTAACCTAACCTTACTTTTCCTTTACGAGCTAGACGTCGCGATAGTTATATCCTCTAAGTTATCCGACTTTAGCACCTCCGCTCGGTCTATCTCGTACGTTAGCTATACTTATTCGTCCTACGGCGCTAGTGCGAACTCGTAGATAACTTCTAGGCGCTTAGATCTAGTCTTCCTATTACCGAGGTAAGCTTCTATATTAGCGACGTATATCTCCTATTTAGCTTAAGCCTCAACGATATTAGAGGATGCGTCTTCGGGAGCGTCCGCATCCTTATCTAGAATTTCGCTGCCGCTTAAGCATGCCGTTCTCGGAACGATTGCACGCCGGCCTCGGCCTCGGCCACTGCCGTTGCCACTATGCGAAAGCCTCCCGTGACAGCCTGGGCTCCGATTCGCTGGGCCCTGCCAATCCACGCCGCTTCTTTTACCCCGCACGCGTGCGACCATACGTTTGAGGCATAGTCTATGGCTGGCGCCACCGTCGCAACGAATAGTTGCCTCGCTATCCGTGGCGAAGCCACCTTTAGTCGTTTTAAATATATAGCCGCGGCTAGCCCCTTAGCGGCTGCTCTAGCGATATTCTCTTTAAAGCGAAGCGCCTTATCTATGATGACTCCTAATAGCTTTACGTTGCTCTTTAGCTTGATATTGTTTCCTTTGATAATAAGAGGTAGGTCGCTATCGCGCTCCGCGATGCGTGTAAAGTAGATGATAGATATCTTCTCTGCTTTAAATGTAGCGCCGCTGCGCTTCTCCCAATCAAGCGCATCATCGATAATCGATTAAATACTATCTCTGTTTGACTCTGCCGTTGGCCCCGTGACCTAGGCAGAGTAATCGTCCACGAAGGCGATGGAGCCGCCGTTGTTACTGATCCGTCTTTGCACCAGGTCTACATTGAAGAAAAGAAAAGCCACTAGCGACAGATTTCGTCTTTTAGATTGCGATCGTTTTGTAAAGTGTGAAAAGTGGTTCCGGCAATGCGACTCTTATGGAATGCATCTACACCTCTTTTAGCGATCGCTCTGAAGATCTTGTGGCATTGTTCCCGCTTTAAT